TTACGGCCACGACACACCAAACCCCCCCCCCAGGAGTGCGCTAACCTATCAGTCTCCTTTTTACAACTTTCTATTCCAAACTGCATACAGCTGTTTATGGCTTTTTGCCATCATCAATGCAGTGTTTGGAAACCAGTATAAGTACTGGAAACTAGTATAAGTACTCAACTTTACTTCTGTACTAGCTTAGCTTTCTTTAATCCTTTGCACCACAGAGCTGAAAGAAAAATACATTCCTAAACCAAACAGGCTGTACTGTACTGCACAGTTTTATTTTTCAGTTTAACACTGGCAGCTAGCTGACAGGAGTAGGGGACCAAATCTACTGATTGTCCTTGATGTGTAGTTCACTGTAACTTAATTTTTATTCAACAAAGTGTATTATATTGAAGTATTGTCCAAAGCTAAAACTTTTTTTTAAAGTTTTGGAAAGCGTATGGAAGGGTTGAAACCTTAAACATCAATTTATTTTTCCTGCTATCTTTGTCCCATTCAGGTTTCCCTTTACTTTCTATCCCAGAGGCACAACAGAAAGTGAGAGGAAATGTCTATGTCACCGGGACAGTCATCCCCATTGGAAGACAATGTCACCAGTACAAACAGGAAGGATTAATTGCCCTACCAGGGACACAAACAATAAAAAACATTCAGGGGATCAGGCCCTTCACTACTCAGTTAGTCTTTTATAAACAATAAAAAAGGAATCATAAAAATATATATAAAAAAACAATATAATAATAATATAAATATTATATATATAAATATATCACTACAGAAAGCAGAATAGTACTGATGCCCCATATTCTTGACCTCTCACCTGTTAACCTTTAAACAGAGTGGACATAACTATCAAAATGTGTTTTAATTAACTGTGACCTCCACAGCACTTAATAGGAAAATCCATTCTTCATAACCAAACGATGATTTTGGGTGTCGGGTAGGAGAGAAAAATAGATGATTCACGCATCCGGTCCCTGGAGAGTTCAGAAAAACCTTTCAAAAGAGTGGAAACTGCAACAATAACATGTAAAATGCTGTACCTCATAGCAGCCAATCAAATGTCACCTTTTGTAGGCTTAGAGTCAATGACTTGAATGCTTTGGGTGGGCCTCCTTCCCAGGGGTCAGCCCATTTATCAGGATCTCGGTATATATGCTCCAATCAATTTATTGGAAGGGTGCACATGGCCGGGGGAATCCACAGGACAATCCAAATATTTCCCTAGCACATTATCCGCTTCTCCAACTTATTTAAATTCTTCCAACATTTTAGTTGCCATAATAAGCGACGATCCTGCAAGGCCGAGCAGAGGGTACCCCACAAGGACCAAATGGCTTGGATAGAAACAAGTGATTCTCAACGTCCTAGCTGGAGAGCAGAGACACCCCTGAGGGCTAAAGTCGATCCTACACTTGATCTTAGCCAAAAGGCCGAGACCATAAATGGTACAATAACATTTAACAAAATGTTGTTTTTAATTGTGAACTTTTTATTTACAATTTTAAGTTGTTATTTGCACTTTGTTTTTAACTTATTGACAAAAAATAAAAACAAACAAAAAATACCACAACAAAATATTGTATAAAAGCAAAAAAACCCCATTTTTTTTTGTATTTTATATTTCATCAAAGCGTACATGCATGTAATCACTGACCTTTTTTATAAAAAAGATAAAAATGAACACCCCTAAAAATTTAAATTAGTAAAGACGTACAATGTTTTGGGGCCATTCGTCTTGTGTAGGAAATAATAGATTAGAATCCATCACAGTTTAGGTTTTTTTGGTATGTCCTGTGCTAAAAAAATGCGACATCTGGGGATAGCAGGAATGCGCGTTGTGTTAGCACATGCACATTTTACTGTTTTTGTTGCGCATTCAG